TTGCACTATCGCAAAACGGTCATATATTTTTTAATCATACATACACACATATGTGTGTGTGTGTGTGTGTGTGTGTGCATGTAATGTCGGTGTATGTGTACATTATATACGTATCCGTGAGCTTGATATACGTAACGCACTTGTCCACACGAGGAATATTCGTGTAGACGATGAGGGAATATGCATATTCTTAAATTTGATGATATGTCGTGCGCCTACTCATGCCTGGGTGGGGTTGGTGTGTTTGAATGTGCTTTTGTATGTGTATATGCTTTCATACAACTTATTGAGGATGAAGTAATCTATACGAGCATCGTAGATTTTTTTTACGCTTAAAGCTTGACGTAGTGCGATTATTACTTAAGGCAAGATTGCACGGTGTGAAAGAATTCGAAAAATATGCCCAAGGTCAACAAACCCATAAGTAGGCCTGAAATCGTGCCAGCTGGTGAAAGAATGAACAGACAAATGAATAAACATCTTTACTACATGAGCAGTGACATTCAAGCGTGTGTATATGTGTGAACTAGGGTGTATGTTTATCTAATGTATTTTAAAGTGCCCTTGTGTGAGTGCGCGCACACGCACATGTGAGTACATTTATTTTAAACATATAATAATCAGAAGGTTGTTTCTCTATTGATATACGGCGGGCTCTAAGCATTGGTTATTTTTTTTTAATCGTCTCCACTTAAATCCATAAAACTTATCTTGATAGCTTCAAGAATTAAATACCCTGTTTGGATACTTCTAAAATCAATGAGATCCTAATAAATATTTGAATATTTTACAAGCGTGTGCTTTCATTTTCAATCTGAATGTGGTTGGCTACAACAGATCTTTGCAAACTGTCGTCCGCATATGCCGTTTTTAATGTGTGATAATGCATATCTGAGTATGTTACCAAAGCAAAACACACACACACACACACACACAAGTATTTTTTAATAAAATAAGACTGTTATATTGGTATGTATGTATTTTCATGTATGCTTGCGGGTGTGTTGTGGGCATACGTCATGTGTGGGCGCAATGTTGATCTTTAGTATCATGACGATTTCCCGCCTTTTGAGAATCCCCTGCAAACGTGACCGAAAACCTGTATCTCTTTATTTCGTAACTACGAGAGCAATTCAACATCTTGCACCTCTCTATACCACCGCCACCATGACTAGCTATGCCAATACAATTACTAATAACACCACGACTGTTCTATATTGGCATCACTAAGAAGCAAGTACCATTGTAATGGTAGTTGAAGCAGTAAATGCTAGTGGAAGTAAAAACTGCACTATTTTCTCTACTGTAGTGGTGGTAATTGAGGTAGTTTCGGCTCTAGTAGCAGTAGTCCTTCGTTTGATCGTTTGTATTGTACATTTTGATGTTGGCGTTCTCGACTTGTCACTTGAAAAGTTCGATCGTAATCAGACATGATTGTTTTAGTGTAGAACTTGACCGTGTGTGTGTGTGCGTGCATGTGTGTGTGTGCGTGTGTGTGTGTTCATTTAGGAATGACACTTTAGATAAAAAATACAGGGAATGGTTGAAAATAAGTGAACATGATAGCAAACATAAAGGACGTGTGTGTGTGTGTGTGTGTGTGAGTGTAAAATAAATAAATAAATAAAGAAAGAAAGAAAGAAAGAGTTAAATAGAGAACAAATTATGTTTATCATTTCGCGGTGTCTCCAAATGTCTATATGCACTTCTTGTTGTGTAGGTGTAAAACAATTAGTTCCTAATATCTTTTATACATATTTGTACATTCATAGCGAAAACGTGTATGACGGGGTGCTGAAAACTTCTTGCTCCCACCACCCACTTCACAAAATCTATTCAAATGACCAAACAAAACACTAGCATTTTTTGTGGAGAGGGAATCTCTTTTTATTCGGGAACTTTTATGCAACACCTTGGATATACAAAATACATGTATTTATGAATGTGTGTAGTGTGCTGTGCTGTGCTCTGTGTGCGTGCGTGCGTATTGTGCTTGTTGTCACTATGTATGTGATTGTTGTGTGTGTGTTGGAGAACATACCAAAAATATGAGTTGTGTTTTTGGGAGACGTTCCTTATATATATATATATATATATATATATATATATATATATATATATATATTGATCAGAAAATACTACGAGTACGTTTGCACTATATTTTAGCCACTCTGATGCACACATACACACAAACACGCGCGCGTACATACGCGTACACACATACAGACAATAGTTTAAAACTGTTTCCTTTATGTATGCAATTATTAGCATGTTTATATCTTATACATTAACCAAGTTACGTATGTTAGTGCAGTGCTTGTCTGGACGTGTGTGTATTTCTAATAGAAAATGATCGTTCTGTTTCGACATTATGTAGAATTGAAGGATAGAGTAGCTTTAATAGGCATAGAGGCGAAGAAATATATATTTTATCTGTTTGTGTTTCCACTCAGCAAACAATAACAGGCCATCTGTTTCTATGATAGATATCTACAAACGAATCCGTCGTGTGTAAAGATATTCATAAGAATTATCTAAACCTATCTTCATGTTATTTTTATATCTTAAAGAAAGCTGGACAATCTCCTCAAAAAAACAAAAAAAAAACAAACTTGAAACAGCGGAATTGTGGTTCTACAGAAAGATGCTGAGAATACCATGGTCAGAACCTGTAAGCAACTGACGAAGTTTTAGAGAAAATGGAAACAAAAAGGACATTTAACATCAGGAATAAACGGTTGAAATTTCTAAGGTAAATAATGAGGAAAGAGGGCTTGGAAAATCTGACACTCATAGGACATATTGAAGTCAAGAGGGACAAAGGAAAACTGTGCATAACCTACTTATGAAGCTTGCGTAAATGTATAGCAAAACAGTACTTAGGAGATATAGCAAGAAGGCAAAATTTAGTAAGAGATACAAAGGACAGGAAATTGTGGAGAGCCATGGTTGCCAACGTCCTGGGGCATGACACATAAAAGAAGTGATATTGCCAGCAATGTACTAGTGCATATGCGTCTGTGAATGCTCGTGTTTTATGCCAAGTGTATGTATGTTCGGGTAAAGCGAACTTCGTTTCTTTATTTTTCCTTTCGCTTGACGCAATCTTAACAAGAACTTAGTTTTTATAAATGCCTAGGCTTACGGCCATATCACGTTGAAACACCGGTTCTCGTCTGTTCACCGAAGTTAAGCAAAGTTAAACCTGCTTAGTGCCTAGATGGACAAACGTTCGGGAATACCAGTTGCTGTAAGTTTGGATGCGCACTTGATGTAATGGATAAACGGAATGAGAAATCGAAGAGTCGAGTTCGAATTCCAGTCGGGTTTGTTATATTCCCTTTCGTGTAAATAGCATTAGGGAAGGTATGCATCCACCACTTCTCCTCACAGATATGGGTTAAATATTAAGACGTGTATCTCCACAAAATTCTTACAATCCAAAAATATGCTTCTAAAGAATTAATGGCTTTTATTTATTCATTTGACATTTTATTACTTTAAAGATATACGAAAATAACGCTTAAAGTAATATATATATATATATATATATATATATATATATATATATATATATATATATATATATATATACGAAGGGTGCTGAAAAGTGTTTCAGTCAAGAAAGGAATTCATTGAAAAGTCTATTTGGTTATTTGGTTAACTATTTGAAAAGTAGTTGGGCCGTGAACTTTTCAGCACTCGTTATTTGCCTATTTGATTTTATTAGAAATTTCCAAATACTATTGAGATATCGTTACATAAATATTTAGGATTTTATTGTAGGAATCTCTACTCCTCTTTATCTCACTCACTATCTATCTCTCTTTAGATAGCACACACATTTTCATGGATGTATTGTGTGACTTTATCAGTGAACAGTTAGAAAAAATTTCAATAACCAACAATTGCTATTCTTCAAAGAGTGCTTAATACAAAGTAGAGCAGATATAATTATTTTTTATAAAAAAAAAAAATTATGACATAAATATGTTATAAAATCACTACAAAAATAGCCATTTTGTTTCAACACACTCGGTGTCTTATCAAGTGATGATGTTGAATATAATATAATATAATATATTCAACATCATTACTTCGATAAGTCACTGAGGTGTTGAAATAGTAATTTTGGTTATTGAAATTCATTCCGTATACACCAATTATATACTTGTATATATATATATATATATATATATATATATATATATATATATTTAGTGGATACTCAGATTTGAGAGACGCTCCGTTTATTTTAAACAGTATTTTATTTCGTCTACCGGCCTGCCTGAACATTCGAGGAAAAGGCTCATTTTCTTTTATAATCTTTTTCTCGAATGTGCAGGCCGGTAGACGAAATAAAATGGTGTTTAAAATAAACGGAGCGTCTACCCAAATACGGGTGACCATTAATATAAGGTTTAAAGTAATAAACATATACAGATTGACTTGAAACAGCTGGAAGAAAACTGTCCGTATCTTTCTTGTTTGCATTTAATTCTTATTAAAACACACAAAAAAGACAACATTAGCGTAGGTATATATCAGATTGCATTTGTGGCAGTAATGTCTTTTCAGCTACAACACTTCTTATGTCTACACGCACCAAATACACGCCCGATATATATATTTCTGGGCGTCATACGTGCGTCCATGACTAACAAATCTCGCAGGCCGTTGCTGGCCAGTTTTCATACTCACTAGGTCCACTATTATTTTGGAGTAGATTAAACCAAATTCAGTAAAAATCTGTATTTGGTTCGTGACTTTGGGGACATAGTAATTACGAGTTCAATCCCTAGGCTGGGCAATGGAAACGGGATAAGCAATAACCAAGCAATACTAAATCAGTTATTCCTAGACATGGGCAGTGGAACGAAAATAATCCCCCCCCACGCCTCGTAGATTAAATAAAGGGTTTAATTCGAAGACACCAGAAGAAGACAGAAGGACAAAAGAGCCGAAAGGGTGTGACAAAAACAACAAAGATGAAGACACTCGTCCGAAGGCAAATAATATAGATAATGTATGTTTCTATGCAAGGTGTTGTGTGCATGTGCATATATGAATGCACGTACTTGTGTGTGTGCGTGTGTGTGTGCGCGGGCGTGTGTATGATATACATACATACAGACACACTCACAAACACACACACACACACACATATATATATACAGAGAGAGAGTGAGAGAGAGATATGCTTAATTGTATTGCCGAATGACAAAATTTAGCTCATATACATATAGAAACACATGTATACGCACATATGTACATACATTAATCAAATTGTGGTCACTGGAATAAAAAAATTTAAACATATGCACATTGAAACATGAACAAACACATGTATATATGCATGTACGCACATGTAAATAAGAAGACACACATACATGCATATATATATATATATATATATATATATATATATATATATATATATATAATGCATAAAAAGTTAATGGTCAGAGTTGAATCAGACCAGGAAACAGTAATATTAAAATGTGCTCAATACACTTACATATATATATATATATATATATATATATATATATATATATATATATATATATATATAATGGATTTTTAATTTTAATCCAACATATTTTCATTACTTTAAACCTTATTTTTTAGTGTTAAATATGTATATATATATATATATATATATATATATATATATATATATATATATATATATACACATTTAAATAACCACTGAAACACACACACACACACACATATATATATATATATATATACAAATTCATATACATTTAAATAACCACTGAAAGTGAAACACACACACACACATATATATATATATATATATATATATATATATATATATATATATATATATATATATATATATATATATATATAATAAATACTGAAAAGTTGTCGATCCTAGATCTACCCAAATGACCAAACATCAATTTATTTTGGAAAATGACCTCTTGGCTATCTCAAGAACTTCACCATCCCTTTCGACCACAAAACCATATATTTACTTACATATCTTTTGTAGGTATGCATATGTTTAATTTAATGAATTAGAGCACAAATATGTATGTATTGATATATGTGCTTTTATAAGTATATGAGTTTAAATGTGTGTATAGATCAGTGTCCTTCCAAATGGCCCCCAACAGCACAGCCTATGAAAGCGATTATTGTTCCTTAGCGGTACGTTGAACTGTAGTTTTGTGCGTAACTGTAATGAATAAAGATATTCTATTTTGTGGGTTTGTACAGATCCAAACGCACGACTTATGATTATGAATGTGTGCTGTAACTATTTGAACATACATCTGATTGCATTGCCTTCTTATATATATTTCTCTTTCTCTCTGTCTCTCTGTCGCTTGTGTTGCATTTCTTCGGTTCACATCAGTTTATATGCCATAAAAAGCAAATCTATCTATCTATCTATCTATCTATCTATCTATCTATCTATCTATCTATCTATCTCGAAAGGGTCTATCTATCGAAAAGGTTAATATCTATCTAAGCTAATCTATCTATCTATCTATCTATCTATCTATCTATCTATCTATCTATCTATCTATCTATCTATCGAAAGGGTTAATATGCCATAAAAAGCAAATCTATCTATCTATCTATCTATCTATCTATCTATCTATCTATCTATCTATCGAAAGGGTTAATATGCCATAAAAGGCAAATCTATCTATCTATCTATCTATCTATCTATCTATCTATCTATCTATCTATCTATCGAAAGTGTTGATAAGAGCGTAAAATCTATCTGTCAGAGTCTATACACATCTATATATTTACCACTGTCTTTCCATTTTCGCGCTCGTGCGCACACACACACAGTATCTTAATTCACCAATCTACACACGGTCAACGTGTACACTGTTTAATTATACATAATTGTAAAGATACTTGTGTGTCCCTGTGTAGCTGACATGTGGACAGCTGAAGAGGATTTAGCGAGAGATGGGCGAGGTAATTTCAGGTCTTTGAATGTTCAAATCAATTATATACAAATGAAAACGGTTGTCTGCCACGCCAGCGACTCGCATGATGACGGCCACAAAGACGATGATTATGGTTTTGACAATGGAAATATTATTGTAGTGATAATACTACAATGAACTTGATAGGGGCGTTAATAAATTGACTTTAAAAGTGATGTTAAAATAAGAATTTCATCACAACTACAACAAAAAAACAACAATAATAATAATAATAATAACAATGAAAGTCAAGTGAGTATCATGATGCTGATGATAATTTAATGTTGAGTAAACAGGTCAGAACTAACTACAACAAAACAAACAAATAAATTGTCTTACTACTACAAAACTTGCTGATAATGCTGAACAAGTTACAAAAAGACTTGCTGACACTTGGCTGCAATTAAGATTCGGCAAGAGTATTGATGTTAGAAGATAAAGTAATGATGATTTCGTAGCTGATCAATTATGTGATGATGATGATGATGATATAATGATGTTAATGATGCTGAAACTT